ATGGACACAGGGAAGAGGTAACTATGGGGAGGAAGTGGGAGGGGAGCTGTTACACTGTGGTAAACTGTGGTTAATGTCACCAGACAAAGTGTATGTGAACTGCTGTATGGAAAGTGAATTTGCTTTTTAAATCTTCACCCAAATCACAATCAATCAATCAATAAAGAGAAATGCATCTCAGGGTATAAAACCAAGCACTGCTGTACTACACAAAATGTCTACCTTTCAAAGGTAGACTGTGCATCCCTTACCCGGCTCATAGGAGTTATAAAATAACAACAACAACAAAAAAAAAAAACACCACAGACCCACCATAACTCAAAGTAACTCAAAATAACTCAAAATAACACAAATGTTGGACCTATATGACAGGGCATTGAAAATAACCGTGACTGATACGTAAAAGTCTCTCATGGAAAAGGTAAACCACATGCAAGATCAGATGGGTAATTTCAGCAGAGAGCTGGAAATGATGAGACTCAAACAGAAATGCTAGAAATGAACAATCCAGTAACAAGTATGAAGAAAGACATCAACAGGTACGTCTGCAGAGCTGACACAAGGAAGGAAGAAATCAGAAAACTTGAAGACAGGACAGCAGAAATTACCCAAACTGAAACACAAGGAGAAAATACGAAAAACAAACAAACAAAACCCAGACTTTGTATGACAACATCAAATGGTACAACATATATATAATCGGATCCCATAAGACGTGCACACAAGAGTGGGACACAATATTTGAAGAAATAATGGCCAAGAATTTTCCAAAATTAGTGACAGACATGAAACCACAGATCCAAGAGGCTCAGAGAATACCAGAGTCAAAACCAAAACAACATACACCCCAAAGCACGTAAAATGCAAACTACTGAAAACAAAAGACAAAGAGAAAATACTGAAGACAGCCAAGAGGAAAAAAAAAAAAAAAAAAAAGCACATATAGGGGGCCAAAAAAAAAAATTACTGCAGACTTCCCATCAGAGATCATGTAACTTAGAAGTACATATGTCGTTGTTGTTGTTATTTGCCGTCGAGTCGACCCCGACTCACAGCGACCCCTCCTTGGGTTTCCAAGGCAGTATCACTACGGAAGTAGGAATGCCCAACCTTCCTTCGGAGGAGTGGCTAGTGGGTTTGAACCGCCAGCCTTCTGGTTAGCAGTCAAGTGCCTTAGGCACTATGCTACCAGAGCTCCTCAGAGATCATGTGAGTTATAAGACCGTGGAGTGGCATTTTTAAAGCACTGAAAGAAAAACCTGCTCACCCAGAATGCAATGCCCACAGAAATATCTTTAAAAATGAAGGAAAAAAACACTTCCTCAGGTGAACAGGCTGTGCAGTGGGGTCTCAGCGTGAAGTTCCACTGACAGAAAGAACATAACCCCAGGCAGAGACTTAGATCTGCAGGAAGAAACGAGAGGCAGTGGAAAGCACTGTATACCTTGTACAGGGATTTCCCCATAGTTTGGTCTCTTATCCGTCAAGGCTGTGAGGGGTTTGGATGTCGAGATGGGTCCGCTTACAGAATGCCTCTGAAATCATAAGATAAATAGCGTCAGTCAGGCTGAAGTGACAGTGGGGAGGCACAAAGAAAGTTAATTGCTGCAAAGCAAGCATTTGGTTCTGAATTTGCATAATTCACCATATACCACTGTAAAACAAAAATACCAAACTCACTGCTGTCAAGTTGAATCCGACTCACAGCAACCCCTCCTTGGGTTTCTGAGGCGATATGTCTACGGAAGTAGATTGCCCAGTCTTACTTCCGAGGAATAGCTGGTGTGTTTGAACCGCCAGCCTTCTAGTCAGCAGTCACGTGCCTTAGGCACCGCACCACCAGGGCTCCCATCTAGTCCGGTTCTAACACATGTGTGCACACAATACGGGAATAGAATGTGATCGATACACTTTCTGAAAATTACCCTTATTTAGAGATCACTGTAGATTCACACGTACCTCTAAGACACGAGATGACCTGTGCACCCCTTACCCAGCCCCCCACCTGATGGTAACACCTCGTGAAACTACAGCACATCACAACCAGGGTGCTGCCACAGGTGCAGTCAATGGACAGAACAGCCTATCACCACAAGACCCCTCCCATGGCCCTTTCACAACCACACCCTCCCTCCCCGCCCTTCCCCAGCACAAACCCTGAAAATCACCCACCTGATTTGAGCGTGATTTTATTATTTTGTTCAGAGAGAATTCTTAAAAACAATACACGTCCATCAACTAAATGCAAAATCACATCCCCACCAGGGGCTGCCATGCCCAGGGTAAGCCTGTCATCTCCATTCATCACCACACCATTTTCTCCCTGGCCTCGTCGCCTCCTGACGGACACACATCCCTCTACAAGCAGCCAAGCATCTGATGGCCTTCAGCTCTTCTGTCACATCTCCTACCACCTCCACGCATGGCTCAACTGCCACCTGTGCAATGCTGCTTCTCGGCTCTGGGCTTCTTGTCCTCAGCAGTCCCCTAACGCCTTTTTCCATCCAGCTAGCTTCCCGCCACTCACTGCACTTGCCCAGCAGAGACGTGAGAATTCCACCTCTCCAACCTCCCGCACCCACTACTATTCTGCTTACTTCCGTCATACCACAGGCTGTGCAGTGAGGTCTCACCGTGGAACTCATGGCCACTGATGATGGTGAGCATCTCATGTGCTTAGTGGCTGTCCCCGTAGCCTCTGTGGGAAGGGCCTTTTCAAAACTTCTGCCTCTTGCAAGGTTATGGTCATTACTTGGTCACAGCCAGCTACCCAGAGGGACCGAGTAGTTGATC